AAATGTAGGTTATGTTTAATTTCTAAATCAGAGTGTTGTGGACAGATGTTTGAAGCCTTAAGATGACTCAGATTCATTTGTTGCGTGGCTTTCTGCCTGGATAACCATACTGTAGATCGTGCCATTTCTGCTTTACTGATGTATTGCCGTGGTGATGACATATATAATTTTATCGTAACCTTTCTGTTAATGGCCCAAACTGTGTCTTCTCTAATGACCATGCAACCAAACCACATTGCATGTGAAGGACCACTTCTATCTTTAATGTCAGCTGATCTCAGTCGGTTAACATGAGGGATGATCGTTACTTTCACCCTTTCTGTATTTCTTTCAGTTTTATCCAGCTCAAGGTGACAGACCCAAAATGATCGGTTTCTTTATTTGATGCAGTATGCCCAGCTGTTTCCTCACTGTGTGGCCGTCTTTGTCTGTATATGGAACATAGTCAGCTAGGGATTTTACAGAAAACATTTCAGTGACCATTTTATTTGAATATGTGTTCCCCGCTGTGGATTTTCATGGTTATGTTGCAGTTTTTGCAGCTAGTTTTTCATCAGAAAGGTAGCTGATGTATTCTTACTCAGTACGTTTAGATTTTTAGAATCTCATTCAAAAATCTTTTGAGTAAACAGAAAGGCTTGTATAAAAAGATTTCATAGATCTTTGAAGCTGCTTTTATTTATCAAGATAAGAATGGTAAGAGAATGGGGACAGCATTTTTTTGTTTGCCTCCTTACATCAGGATAATAAAAAAAAAAATGTGGTTTAGTTGTTTAGTTTTAACCTAATTAATCCACTCAGAATGCAAGCTGCTTAATGGAACAGGGACATCTTTATGGCAAGTTTGTTTCTTTTGTAAAGCAACCATGAAAATGCTAAACCCTAGCACATTTTAACTTAGTTTTTCTCTGGCTGCCTTCTTGTTTATAAATTAAATATTTTGACTCTCCTGTTTTGATACTCCTTATTGCCCCTCTGTGTGACTTGTTCAAAGAGCTCTCTGTCTGGGGTGTTGCAGCAGAGCAGATTCAGACAGTTCTGCTCGGAGAAGGAAGTGGAGAGTTTTGGTTCCCATTTTGCACTTCTGGAACAGTTTAGGGAAGGAAGCACCTTTACACCTTTTATTGTTCGTGGTTGCTGACATCATATCCTTCCCTGACCACTCTGTGCGTGTTTCCTGCCATTCTATCAAGATTCTTCTGTGTTGCAGAGAAAGGATAGTGGGTGTGCATGTGTGTGTGTGTATGTGCGCGCGTGTATACGTCTGTGTGTGAATGTACGAGGAGAAACGGGAGCGGTTAAGTGATCTGCTGCATTTGTCCATTAGCTCTTTTCCCTTCTGAAGGCTCAGATCAATCTTCTGTCAGCTACCACTGCCTCTGCCAAATCATATAGTGAACAGAAGCCCGCCAAAAATGAAGTTCCTCTTTTTGTAAGCAGTCTGATTATATTTTTTTTTTTTTATGTTTGGGTTTGCAAAAAGAAAAAATGCTGAAGAGTGTAACACCATAGCATGTAACTATGTGTTTCTTTAAGTGCAATTTGTTTGCATGTAACCATGTCATTAAGTTGGAAGGTTTCTTTTATGTGGAGAGTTACTTCAACAAAGCTTCTGGAATTATTTTAAGTTCCTTTTTAGATTCTCTTGGATAATGAAAGCCTGCAGTACTATTTAAGTTTTGTAGTACCTTCAACTTTTCTAGCTAGTGTGCTTTATTAGTGCTAGGGAAATACAATTTATCAGTTAACAGGAACTTTAAATACTTACTATGTAATCCTTAATCCTGCAAGAACTGTCAAAAAGTATTGAGAACACTGGTGAAGTCCTAAAGCAGCCATGGGGATTTGTTGGTCTCCAGAGTTCTTTACCTTCTGTTTGACTCGGAAGTCACCAGCCTGTGAAGGTTATAGCCCCTGAACCAGATGTCTTGATTGACTCATCTGAATCTAACTGACACAGGATCAGTCCAGCTATCTGCTTTATATATGTACATGTGCAAATGTATATACTAGTTCAATGAATAGAACTATAGGCAAACACATAGTAAGAATAGCATGCGAAGCAGTACGTGTTGATACGTATGTATGTGTAAAAGAGTAAGACAGATGTAGAGAATACCACAGCATTCCCAGTTTGTTTCTAGTAGCAGTAAAAATAGCAGAAATTATTTTTGAAAAAGGAAATGAATTTGCTAGAAAAACTGAAAAGCTTTTATTTGAAATTAGACCAGTAAGCAAAAAGCAAACGGGAGAGAGATTTTTTTGTCAATGCAAGAAAACTTAACCCGCTGCCTGTTGAAGCGAAATTATGTTTCTTTGCAAATTGTATGTTGGATACATATGACCTAACACATTCTGTCTTCTCCTTCAGGTTCTCTAAGATTGTATGATAATATTTAATAACCAAATCATCCTTGCTCCCCTTCAACTTTATTTTCCTGCACATCTATGTTTCCACTTAAAATAAAACTAATGTAGTTAGTGGATTACTACAGGTAATGAAGAACAAAATTCTGCTCATCAAGTGTTGCATGAATTACTTTAAGATAATTTTGTGTAGATCATAGGAATTTTAAGTGTTCTGACTTTAAGCTGTCTATAAAAGCTTTTGTTGTTTGAAGACTGGTCTTAAATGTGGAACTGATAAGTGTGTGGGAGGGACTCAACATAGAGTTGTTGAGTCCACTAAGAATTCTCCACTAAGTTGTTCTCCACTAAGAATTTTGTCCTTCCTGGTAGATTTTCTCAGTATTCCGTGATTTTTCTGAACTCGCTCAGCATCAGCATCTTGATCTGCAGAGCAGCTCTCATCCTTGCTAACCTGTCACCACTGCTCTAATCTGTCCACCCTGACCTTCCACCTTGAAGTGAATAAGAGCTTAGGCAGGCGTAGTGCTGTAAGCCGATAGTGCCACTGGCTTCAGCTGAATGAAAGGAAAGGAAATTGTTCCATATGCATTTGCTGTGGATTAGCGTATTGGCTTACTGTTACAGAGAAAGCCTGTTAGACTCCTTTGGGTCCTGCATGTCCATGGGAAACACCATTCTAACTTGCTCTTTGTATCGGAGGTAAGACTATAGGAAAAACAGGAAAGAAACCCAGTCCGAGGAAATTTAAAACTGTTTCTAAAAATAGACTGCGTTTGTTTGTCAACACTGAATATCAGATAAGACTGTCTCCTAGCTTTGTTTGGAAAAAAAGTTTTATAAGTACATTAAATCAACTTAGTTTATTTCAAGGTTTTGGACTTTTTTGTTGTAAATATGATCAAGCGCCTTTGTGTCTTTTTAAGCAGTGAAAAGTTGAACTCTTTTCAAATAAGTAAAAAGCAGCAAAAAATTTTCACAGCCTTTGCACTTTATTATATTGGCAACATGAATTGTTCCATGTTCCATGTTCTGCATTACAGTAATGATTTAGGCATATATAAATATGCCTAGCAAATAATATAAAAAGACATTCATGTACAGAAAGGTAAGTATTATACTTGAAAATTTGTTTTGCCCAGCAGGTTAATTATATCATAGTGGCTGGGTAGAAAAATCAGATTGACTGCTTATTTGTTAACTTATTTTTTTTCTTAGAGCGATAAAACACTTCAGCAGCTTAATGTTTAATGTATGCAAAGAAAATCAAGAGAGAACTGAAGATCAGAATGAGTGAGGTCTAGCTTTTCTACCTCAGTAGCTTTGAATCAGAGCCAAATAATGGATTAAATGGCCAGGACATCGGCTTAGTGTTACGTAACATATTGCGAGAATTTATCAGGTTGGCTGCGAGACTACAAGTTTAAAATAAATAAGGAAATGCCAGCCTCTGTTTTAAAATTAGTAAATTTTTATTTCCAAGGCAATATTTTACTACAGTATGGATCTAACATAAAAACTTTGAAAAAATGATTTAAAATTAATCTTGTTCAGATTTTTTTTTCTTCTGTATTTAAAAGTACTCTGTGCTATTCTGGTCAAAATATGTAAATATAAAAATATGAATGTTAAAAAGGGAAAAAAATTGCATCTTTTACTTTAGTACTAGACTGAACATCATTTTTGTATTATATTTCTATCAAGTCTTTTATTGCTAAATACACTTTGGATATGATAGAAATTAACTTTGTGATTTATGACATTTTGTGAAATATGGAATGTGTACTGCGTTATATATTTTCATATATTGCATCTAACTGTCCTTAGTTTTATGACAGAACCAGAATTGTAAAGCTCAGGGAGCTAGTATCAGTGCATTACTAAAACTGTGAAAATATTTTTAAAACATTCTTAAATTATCATCTCTCCTTATTATTCTGTGCTATATAGCTTGTCTTTTGGTGCAAGAATTTTTATAAGGAAAGGTGTATGTGTTTGCTAGTTATAAATCATTCGTCAGAACGTTTTATAATTTACATTGAAATGAAATGAGGGAAAATGCACTACTGTTTTCTTCAAGTATCTTGAGTAATACTTGCACTAATCTATATTCTTAAAGAATAAGGTTAAAAATTTTGGATTTAAAGTAGCTGACATCTCTCATCTATCAAGTAACACTTTAATAAAGGTCCATCCTATTTGCATAATGAGGGACATTATCACCTCTGCTGTCAAAACACAAGATTGTTTTCCCTTCAGAAATGAATTAGCTGGCCTACTTAGCATACATAGGTACAGAAAGGTTCATTAACTCTCTGATTTAGGTAATTTTTCATATTAGAACAGTGAGTGATATTTAAAACTAGAGACACCTAATTCCGTTAAAGTTTTGGCAATGCGTATTTCAGTCCTTTTCTTCATTTCTTGATATATTCGTGGGTTTGTTCATAAAAAGAAGCCTTTGAATTAAATTATTATTTCTCTATGTATTACTTATTTTATAGATGCAGTAAATTTTTATTATAATTTACTTGTACACTAAATTATAATTAGGATGCTTGGTCAGCTCCATATAATAGCTTTCATCTAGTTATCAATTTGGTAATAACATTTGATTTCTTTTCTGTGTTTAGCAGGAACAGATGCAGGGGACTGTGAACTGAGTAGTGCAAGTGCTGAAGAAGGAGGTTTGTTTTGAGGAAACGGGAAAGAGGAAGAAAAGAGAAGGGAAAAATACATAATTTTAAGGAAGAAGGAGAGAAAAAAAAACGGGGACTATGGGGAGAAAAAAGATTCAGATTACAAGGATTATGGATGAACGTAACAGACAGGTGAGTAGCAAATATGCTGTATTTGAACATCGTATTATATTTCTAAGGTGACTTATTCTCATAAGCGATTAAAAAGGTGATAGCTTTGTGTACATACACATATACCTACATATACACAATGTATGGAAGACTATCAAAGAAAAAGTACTTTTGAACAACCAGAGAAACCTCACTTTTTCAAAAGCAGTTTTTTTCAAGTTTAGTAACATGCATAGTTAGGAATTTATTACTTGAGGCCTTGATTCTATGAAGACTGATGTGTATGCTCTACTTTGGGCCCCCTCTGTACTCACTTTGACTTCAGTGTGTAATATACATGGTTAAGTGCATCTGCAAGTTGTTACAGGATACAGGCTTTTAGTACTGTATTTTGTGAACTATTATAATATTAGTTTATTTGCAGGAGGACTTGCATTTAAATTCATAGATCCAAATTTATTTTTCTACATGTTTGCAGTGTTGTTATTTTTACCTCCATATAAAAATGACACTACTTCATCTTACTACTAAAAAATTTCATCTTTTACTGTCTGAACATGAATTTTAAAAAGAATTTGAGCAGCCTAACACATTCTAAAACCCACATACAATAATATTGGCATGTTGTAGTTATGAAACAAAGTCTCCGTTACTGATGCTATGGCTAGATAGGTCCAGCAGTACTGGTTAATTAATTATTACCACTGCTTTAGATAAAATGGCGAGTAGCTGTCACATATTATCAACACTATCTCTGCTAGTTAAAATATGGTCATAAATTAGAGAAACTGCTTTCCTGTTTTCAGAAAAATAAAATTCAACAATTGGCATCTTAAAATAAAATCAGTGAAAAGCTGCTGCTGTTTACATTTGATGTAAACGGATGGAAGTTTTGTTGAAACTGGAGATTCACAAGTGTGAGAAACTCTCCATGAAATGATTTAATACTATGATTAGTGTTCTTCATACGTGTGGCTGCAATTGAAGAGTAATCTTCAGTAACTGTTTTTTAAGAACTTGATACTGAGTTACTATTAATACAATAGTTCTATTAACTTGATCTATAAATTTCTTCATATATTCAGGTTGGTTTTTAAGAAGTGATTATGTTGTTCATCTTCAAGGATTTTATAAAGCCATAAAGAACTCAACCTAGGCATAACAACAAATTATAATCTTTAAATATGCTTTCCCAGAATTTTTAAATTCTGTAGTGTTAGTAGTCACTTGTGTTCTTCATGGCAGAAAATCATGTTTAAAAGCAAAATTATATTTATGATGGATACATTTTGTCTTTTCCCTGAAGGTTGCCTTTTGCTATAGGCCAAGACAGAAAGCAGTAATTCTGTCAATATAAAACCACCACCATATTTATTTTAATTGCCTTATAGCTTGGAATTGAAATTGGATTTGAAATATTGAACTGAATTTATCATTAAACATTAAGACACTAGTTGTTTGGAACTTTCCCATACTACCATGGTTTCTTTTTGAAGTGACCCTGAATTATTCTGTAGATGATACTACAAAATTTTGCCATTAGTAACATTACTTTATACAATAGCTTCAGTGTCAACTTGCTTACTCAAATACAGGATTTACGGAGAACTTAATCCCCAGTTTTGTCAAAGAGATACCTTTCAAGAGGCTAAATTTACTTTAAAAAAATGAAGACAGCTAGTCATTCACAGTAGAGTTTCAAGACTTCTAGCACCAGCTTTCAGAACTAATAATCATGAATAAAACTATAACACTAGAATACTAACAACTGTAGTGTTAGTGCAGAAAGTGTTTATCTTGCTAGCGTTTGATAATATCCACCATGTTGATTAGTCACTGTGAGGCTGAAGGTAGAGATTTACATTACTTTACCCTCCACATAGTATAATTGGCTTGATTCTGCTTCTCATTTCTACTAATATATTGAAACATATTTTAGAAAGTGTTTCTACTGGTTTTACCCTCTTTGCATTTAGTGCCCTGATTTAAAGCTCAGTGAAGCCAATGAAAAGATTTCCATTGATTCATTTGGACTGTGGGATCAGGCTTTTCAGTTGTAACGATATATATGTGATTAAATACAACTGGATTTTCACTAATAGCTAATTAATCTTTTAACCACTTGTATAAGATATACTCTTTTACAAGCCTTACTGTTTCTTAAAATATAATGTATTCCGTGACCTACTGCTGCTTCAGTGAAGCTGCGTCGGTTTATTTCTTTTCTAACTTCCACACTTCCAGTAATCTTAAAATAGTAACTGGTTTATATTCCTATATTATTTTTTTATTTGATTACATAAATACATTTGAATTCACAGAAAAGATTAAAAGGTTGCACCAGAGAAAAAAAAGGTTAAAAGTTTTTGGTTAATAAAATTAAGATACCGGCTGAAGCAAGGTACCACAAAGCTTATTTGTAGCTCCATTTACCATGACATGGATGGAGACTTGTTTTCTTTTCTTTCTTACTACCTCACTGAAAGATGTTTGCAAGAACAGCAGCAAATCTGTTGGCTTGAAACTGCCTTATTGTTGCTTATATTCAAACTCAGTGTGGTTTCACAATACAAGGCATGTTGTATGGGGAATATGATATACATAGATAGTGCATCCTCAGCTGTTTTCAAGCACATAAATTCAATGTAGGACAGCACATGCAGGGAAAAATAGGTGGAACGTATCAAATGAGGGGATATAGCAATAGTTTAATTCTTCTCCCCTCTCCCAGTGCAAGGGTGAATCTGTTTGGATAACAAAGTTTTTGCAAAAGGGTTTAAGTTGTTACGAGGCCTGTGGAAGGTGATTTCTGTCCTTGCTTTTTCACTCATTTTCCCAGTGTCCTGACTAGCTATTTACGTTAACCATTGAATGGAGTACTTGTTCTATCAGTGTAACAGCTGTTTTCTTCCACGCTACTGTCTGCTATGGTAGGAGACTCCCCTACTGCTCAAAGTGCTTGTATGAGTGGATTGGGAAGGACAAAAATAGTGCTGACCTCCCTTCAAGAGCATTTCTTCTGAGCAAGTCTAGTTGGTTGGATTTGTGTACTTTAGTGACCATACTGGTAATAAATGTAACTTGAAACTGTCCTGAGTCAGATGTCTGGCTGCAAATCTCATAGAAATGTGCAATATGGGGATATGATCTGCAGTTTTCCAAAAACTATTTGAAACTTTGACATTTTGGTGTAAGTTAAAGGAAAACTACTGCAACCTAGACATTAGAGGCCCAGTCCTTTTACCCTGGACTGCATAAGGGCTCTGTCATTGACTTCACCGAGTGTAGAATTCAGGCTTTTAACTAGGAGGAGCTATTAATTTAATGTTGCTTCACGTGGGCTGCCAGTTGGCTGAATTTTCCTGGCCCTCATAGTTACCGTGTGGTGACAAAGGTGTCAAGGATGTTTGAATTTTCTGTCAATGATCACAAATTCTCTTCGGTTGTGAAAGTTTCAGAAAAGCCCATCTGAAAATTCCCTTTCACTCTGCTTTTAGCCACAGGGAGAAGGAGTATGAATAACTGCCAGGGCTAGAGTAAATGTGTATTTATTTGTGTAGTTTAGTTACCATCATGATATTAAATGGAAAGGAAAACTCTCAAGAGAATCCTGTTACAAGCAGCCAGTGTGACCAGAGACTTTCTTTTTAGTATTGCAACACTGGATAATATAGTCTTCATAAATGTGGAATGAATCTCTGGTAGTGTTGCTCAGGTTCATGAGATCATGGTAGCCTTGTCAACAGCCCATTCGAGTAGACTGCATACATGATATTAGTTGCACCACCAATAGAACTGATAGCCAAAAATATTAGCACTGACATCTGATGCTGGAAGCTCCTGACTGCTACAAGTTCTTTGTGCAGAAATTTCAATCGGGCAGATTGGAGAAGGCTGTTGTGAATAATTCTGGGTTGTTAATTTTTGGTTTTTTAAAAAAAAAAAAAATGAAAAGAGGAACGACATTTGCAAAAACATGGGTGAACTTTATTTTCATGTGTTTTCTTAATTGAAAGAAATAATTCAGCTAGCTCTGTCAGGGTCACACATGAAGGGAAAAATTGCATTCAACCGCCTCAGAAAAGTCCTTGTATTTTTTCTATTTGTTTTCCATCAGTTTGAAATATTTTGTAGTTTTAATGAGGGCCTTTTTGTGGTCTGCTGTAGACTGGGATCATCTGAAACTCTCTTTGCAGTGGTCCAGGCAGGGCTGCCCAGGCCTAAAACAAATAGGTGTAATGACATAAATGATACTGTATTACTGTTACACAAGGTCACTTACAAAATATCTCATTAAATCCATGATCTGTGAGCTAAATCCAGAGGTACATTGACCCAGGAAAGAGGGCCTATTGACCCAATGACATTCTGATATCGGGTCTGGAACACCCTGTTGCTTTTAAGCTGCAGGTTTTTCTAGTTAGTATTAAAAACTATCAGGTCTTAGATGTCGATCCACCATTTGCTATCCGTCTGATCATCTTGCTCATTAGTTCTGCATTTTTTTCCTGCTTGTGAAGCATGCTGTTGTCAGATTCACAGTTAAAACTGAGTTGAGCTTAGCTAATGATTCTGCATACTGTTTAAAACATCTCTTTCAATTTGTAATGAGCTGCTGGGAGCTTAAGTGTTATTAAACACCATAGGAAGTGTACACTTCAGTATTAAGGTGCTTAAATAGTAAGACACCCTTTTTAAAGTATCATGTCTGTGTAATTCTATGGGGTACGACAGTAACAAACACTTGCTGTTTAACTTTTTCATGCATAGACTTTTTATCATTCTTTGATTCCAGCAAATCTGTAAAGCTATATACCAAGACTTACTGCAGTTACCAGCTCAATAGAGAACAATTAAAGCAGATAAGTAAAGTGAGGTTATGGGGCAGGGGAAGAATATCCTGGAGGGAAATGACCGCTTGCAGGAAGACCTAGATTTGTTCTACTGACTTCGATACCTAATGCTGCTAGTTTCAAAACTAATTTCAGCCTCGTGTATCTATTTTTATCTGTGTTTCAGCT